ATCATTACAAAATCCGCCCATAACACAAATATAGCTTATAAACTCCGCCTACCCTTCGAATGGCAACCAATCAAATCAGACCAACAAGGGTGTTCTCTCATCGGGGACTGAATACTGCCTGTAATCAAAGAACCTTCCAGAATACCCTTCAAAACTTCTCCTCACCCCCCGTTGTGTCGACCCTTTGTGACCGTGGCTGGCCCCCGGGAAACTCCCAACAATTTCCTCATCATTAACTTCGTCGTCATCGTTATTTAGGACGTCATCATCGGATGCTCCTCCTCCTCCTGCTGCTGATTCGTTAACGTTCGTGACGTCACCGTGATTGGCAGCTGCCAGGGAGTGGAGGTGCTGCTTGCGTTCGCGACTGTGGCGCATGCCGTAGCCGAAGTAATTGATCAAGCCTGTTTTTTGATTGGCCGTTGGTGCAGTTTCAGGATGCGTTCGTGATATGTTTTTCATTTTGTGACAGTAAAAAATTTCACTTGTCATTTGTGATGTTTAAACAATTACTCTCACTTTTAAAATCGCTACTACCTCTACCACTACTACTATTACTACTACTACTACTACTACTACCTTCCTACTGCTGCTGCTAACAATAATAATAATAATAAAATAATAATAATAATAAAAATATTTATAAAACCACACAAACAATTTAACCAAAAAAAACCGCCAAAAATAATTCAAAAAACCCGCCAAAATGAAATGAATAATTTTTTTAAAACCAACCAATCGCGAGCCAGACGATAAATCTAATCCAAGTTTCCCGCCCGAGTTTGAACATTAGATAAATGTTGATGACAACGCTCAGAGTCGGAATGAATGGTACCAAAGGAACCTTATAATGAAAATAATTAAATTTAAAATTAATTGATTAGGTAGTTCGTCAATTAGTCAGCCAGTTGGTGAGTTAATTAATTGATTAATTAATTAGATAATTAATTAAGAAAGTGATTAATTGGTGAAGTAGTTAATTTGTAACAAAACAAAATCTTATACTATCAATTTATGTTAATATATGCTAATCTGAACATTAATAATATGTTAATTTATGTTAATATATCCTAATTTGAACATTAATAATCTATGTTAGTTTAAAAATTATTAGCATACGCTAATATGAACATTATTAATATATGATAATATATGTTAATTTATGTTAATGTTGATTAATGGAATAGTCAGGTAGAGTTAATCAGTGTTAATTATTAATATATGCTAATATAAGTTAATACATGATAGTTTATGCTAATTTGTGTTAATTTAAAGTCAGCTAGCGTTAATTAATAGAATAATAAATAAAGTTAATGAATGTTGATGAGGCGAAAGTAAACAAAAAACTAAATTCATTAAGTGGGGCAAATTTATCCCAGCAACCTGGAAGGTGAGGACCCTAGAATTGGTCGGCTGGAGGGAGATAGCGATGGTGAAGATGATGATGAAAAGAGAGGGTACGGTGATGATGAGGACGCTCCACCATGATGAGATGGTGAGGTGGTCGAGAGAGACGCTCAGCCAGATCGTCAGGGCAGCTACGATGGTGACGACGATGATGATGATGATAATAGTTATGACGATGGTGATGGGGATTGTGAAGATGATGACGACATGATGATGATGATGGTGGTGGTGAAGTTATTAGTGGTGGTGATGATGACGCGTATGTCATAACGACAACGATAATCATGATTAAGACTGTAACCAATCAAATCAAAGAGTTTAGATTTTAAAAAAATTTTTAATAATAATACATAAATAACATAGGCTTTCTAAAAAATTCTCACTATTACGATCATCATCATCATCATCCGTGCGATCATCATCATCATCATTACCACAATCATCATCATCATCATCATCATCGCCACAATCATCATCAAGACCACCATAACAATCACCATTACCACGAACTCACCAATGCCAGTAACCAGCACCTTTACAGCCAAACTCGATCTTTCGGTTGGAAATCTTTTCTTAGATTTGCCCTTACCACAACAGCCACAGCCACCAAAGCCACTACAACAGCCACCGTTATCATTATCATCATCATCCTCCTCATCATCTTCTCCGATATCATTATCATCACGACGACGTATCAAGATATCACTATCATCACCGCCAAGACGATTATCATCATCGTCAGCGGCCGCAATCGCTTCTGAATCGCCTTCATAGACTTCGTACCTAAATTAACATACATGCACATGCGAATGAATATACACACACACACAAATACAAATGAATACACACACACAAACACACACACACACACACATGCATACACATATACGTACACAAACACACACGATACGAAATGAAAATTTATTTGCTTCTCAAGATTCAAAATTATAAGAAAGCATGATGACCATAAAAGAATTTATAGACAAAATTCATCTGGTATGGCCATCTAGACTAAAATCTTCCTAGTTTAAACACACATACAGACATATAAACACAAACAAAAGCACGGCGTCCACAAACAAATATAAACGTAAAACACACACATACACACACACACACACAGACACACACATACCTTAGTAGCATGACACAGGCAGAGACGAGCGTATAAGCGAGCAGTGTACCAATGGACATCATGTCAACCAACTGCTTCACGTCAAAGAATGTCGCCATGAAGCCTTGGATTAATTATAACGATAATTATTATTACTAACTATAATATTCGTTAATTATATTAATAATTATTAAAATATTATATAAAGAATATTAATACCATGAAACAAAAAGACAAAATTTTCTTTTTATAAATTCTGTTGTACACTTTGCATGGAGAATCCCATCTCGTCATTCAATCTAGTTTGATGGATCTAGCAAGCCATTCGACCAACAGTTAACCAACCTACCAACCAACCAACCAGCCAACCAACCAACCAACCAACCAACCAACCAACCAGCCAACCAACCAACCAACCAGCCAACCAACCAACCAGCCAACCAACCAACCAACCAGCCAGCCAACCAACCAACCAGCCAACCAACCAACCAGCCAACCAACCAACCAGCCAACCAACCAGCCAACCAACCAACCAACCAACCAACCTGCCAACAGTCCAGCAAGTACGGTGGCCCTCACGGGTATCTTGGTCTTCTTGTGCACTTTGCCAAAGTACTTGAAGACCAGGCCGTCCCTGCCCATGGCGTATATAATACGAGGCATTGGAAACATGGCGGCCAACAATCTGTTCAGTTGGTCAGTCACGTGATGTGACGACGACGACGACGATGATGATGATGATGACGGTTGTTTGATGTTAGAGACATACTAGAACAACGCATACACACATAAAACCAATAAATCAAACCAAGTACACGCACGCACAAACACACGCACACACAAACAAACACACAAACAAACTCACACACACACAAACAAGCACATACAAACACACACACAAAAACACACACACACACACAAACACACAAACAAACATACACAAACAAACAAGCACATACAAACACACACACACACAAACACACGCATACACACTCACGCGGTAGCCAACGAGCAAATGGCGCCAACGCTGATGACGTAATAGGCCACCTCCCAGCCGATGGCCCTGAAGGCCATGGAGAGGGGGGCACTCTGGTTTAGGAGGTAGTAGGGGTAGACCAGAGTCAGTATGGCAGCCGTGGCAATGTAGCAGGCACCTGGCGAAGAATAAATTGTCAATGAAATGTAGTAAGTAATTAAACTAATTAATTATAATTAATTGGTACACATTACACACACACACACATACAAACACACATACAAACACCATACAAACATTCACACACACACACACATACAACCGACCAGATATAGCCAACGTCAAGGTAATACTGATCGGGATGGATTTGGAAGGGTTCATGACCTCTTCACCTGTCGGGGGGGTGGAGAAAAGGGTGCGGTCCATTTTATTATAATTGTGGGGCAATAAAAATAGGAAATGAATGAATAGATGAATGAGTGAATTAATAAATGAGTGAATGAATGAACGAACGTATGAAAGAATAAATGAATGAGTGAATGAATGAAAGAATGAATGAATTATCAAACAACTAAGTAGATCACTGATGATCAGTCTGCTGTGAGAGGAATGAAACTGAAGCAATTAAATAAGCCAGCAAATTAGACTTCGCTAGCAAAGAAGATAATGAAGTACACAAAATAATAAACAAATAAAATACATATTATTGTTTAATTTTATCACACACAGTAATTAGCAGTAGCTATAACATCCAAATAAATTAATATATTATGCTAATGAGCGAGCCTGTAGTAGCGATGACGTCAAATCCGGCGAAGGCGTAGAAGCAGGAGGCAGCCCCGGCCAGCATTCCGGAAGCTCCGAATGGGAAAAACCCGCCGTGGTTGTAAGTCGGATCGTCTGCTGTCTTGTTGCCATTTGGTATCTTTCGATCGGGAGGGAGGAAAAATAAAATAAGAGTGAAAGAGAGAGAGATAATCATGTCAAAGTGAGTGGGAGTGCAGTTATTATGAATGTGAAAAAAAGAAAGGAGTGAGAGAGAGAGAAAGATGAAGATGACGAAATGGAGAAAGAGAGATATATCAAATTAATAATAGTTAAATATTACAACCGAAATTTTTAAGCCTATCATCACCACTATCATCATCATCATCACCACCACCATTATAATTATCATCATCATCACCATTATCATCATCATCATCACCACCACTATCATCATCATCACAGGTCCTAGAGTTACAGCATCGTCATCATGGTCAGTTTAACAAACCATCCAATCAACCACACCCAAATCAACCAACCAACTAACCAATCAGTCAATCACATCCTAACCAACGAACCAACCAACCAATCACAACTAAATCAACCAGCCAACCAACCAATCACAACTAAATCAACCAGCCAACCAACCAATCACAACTATATCAACCAGCCAACCAGCCAATCACAGCCAGCCAATCACAACCAGCCAACCAACCAAACTTTCCGGAATCTTCCAGTTTCTAATATCAGATATTAAACCACCACAGATGATGACATACAGGATGACGACCAGGTTGATGATGGTGAAGATGGTGTTCACATGGGATGACTCTTTGACCCCAAAACATAAGATGGCTAGTGATTGGATGGTTGGTTGATTGATCGGAGGTGGTTGATTGGTTGGTTGTTTGGTGGATTGATTAATTTGAGGTGGTTGATTGGTTGGTTGTTTTGCTAGTTGGTTGATTGGGGCGATTGATTGGTTGTTTGTTTGGTTAATTGAAAAAACTTCAAATGAGTCATGTATTTAAAAAAAGACTATCACAAATAAAACATAAAGGCAAAAAAAGAGTACGTCAATCATTACAAAACTCCGCCCCAGCCTACCTGTCAACACGATAATTATACCAAGAGCCAACAAATCAGGATACTCGGAGAATATTGGGGCATGAAGTGGGAGGGTCTTTGCAAACCATTGGCTGATGAGGCTACCACACAACGAGTCTATGTAGTCGCTAGTGGCCCTAGCGACCGCTGCTGTTCCTGTCGTTATGTGGTTGTGGTGGTGGTAATTACGATGACGATGATAACTGCGGTAATAGTTAAAAAATTAAATGTAACAAAAATTGACCAATCACCAACTGAGATGCAAAACACAACCAATCACAAGTCAAGATACAAAAATTCGACCAATCGTAGATCAGATCAAAATAGAAAAAAAATTAACCGACCAATGATATACTCCAGCGTCAAATTCCAGCCAATCACAAAAGCCATAAACTCTCCGACTGTGACGTAACTGTAAACGTAAGCAGACCCAGCCCTGGGAACTAAGGCACCGAATTCTGCATAGCACAGGCCTGCAATTAATATTTGTGGACGGAGTTTGTTATTCAAAAAGCACGTGGGAGGAGTTTAGAATGTCTTTCAAATGAATTTATGTTGAGTAATAATTAAACGAAAAGATTATTAAAACTTTATGTCAGAATAATAGAAAGCATAGAATGATGTTATTCCAAATCGAATTAAAAACGAACAACAAAATCCTTGTAAAAAACTCATTAAATCACATCCCAGCACAATTAACTACTGCATATCACACACATGCACACATACCCACAGACGCACATAGAAACGCATACCACACGCACACACGCACACACACACACACACACACACACAAACATACATACACTTTCACACATCTAATCCAAATAAAATCTTCTTAAATGTTCTTAAATCTAGACATACTAGCAAATAGAGCAGTGCAAATGCGGCAATAACACACGCCAACTTCACTTCACACACACACACACACACAAACAGAGAGAGAAAGACGGAGACAAAGACAGACAGACGTACCAGCAAATATGGAGGCAAAGCCAGCAATAACATAGGACAGCAAGACTGCGGGGCCAGCCATCAATGCAACCTGCCCAGTTATTACATATATGCCAGATCCTATCGTACAGCCAATGCCTGCAAATAATTAATTTACATCATATTTAATTATTAATATAATAATAATTATTATTATTAATTATGAATTAACTGTTGAATCAACATAATAATTATTGTTATTAATTTTATATTATTATTATTATCATTAATTATCAATTAAGTGTTGAATCACATAATAATTAATGTTATTAATAATTACTATTATTATTAATTATCAATTAACTGTTGAATCAACATAATAATTATTGTTATTAATATTATTATTAATAATAATTATTATTATCATTAATTGTCAACTCATTGTTGAATCAACGATTTCATTAAAATGTGATAGTCGAATAGTTAAGAGGCATATTATTAGATGTGTGGTTTGTGAGTGTGTGTGTTAGTGTGTGTGTTTGTTTGTGTGTTAGTGTGTGTGCGAGTGTGTGTGATACACGTGGATTCAGGCCTATTTACAATGTGTTTTGTGCTGTTGTTGTTGTTGTTGATGCCTTTGAGAAATTTAAAAGAAGCCAGAAATGTGAAAACCCCAACATACCTAATGTAGTCAGATCAAAAGTATTGAGTACCCTGGCCAGTCCGTGCTCTCCGGACCCCTCAAAATTGATGGCCTTCCTTCGCAGGAGGGCTGCTGCCAGCCTCGTGCTCCACGGCGTCTTCGATTTAGCTGCCGGTGAGTGTGGCGTCGATTGTGACGACGTCAGTGGCGATGTTTGTCGGTTTGTTTGGGATGTCGTCGGTGAAGATGGTGGCGTTTTTGGAGACGGCATGATGAATAGGGTGGAATGTTATGTATGGGGATGCGGTCGTCGGTGGTGGAGATGATGAAGATAATGCGTATGATGAAGATGATGCGTATGATGAAGAAAGAGAATGATGTATCTTTTGGTGGAGTGTTTGGTTGGTGTTTTGAGACTGGCCGTCAGTGTTATAGACAATTAGTGCGAAGAAGGTACGGATGTAGATTTGTCCGCTACTTGCTACCAGCTGACTGTGTGGCTGTAGGGTGTTGTTACGGTTGGATCTGGATCAAAGTTTTAATATTTTAATTTCAGATTCAAAAATAATAAAACGACAAGTTGGTTCCTTAACACACACACACACACACACACACACACAGACAAACAAACAAACACACACGCAAACAAACAAACCAACAAACACACATACAAATGCACACACTATATTAAGTATCTTATAAAATTAATTTATGCCAGCCCATGGAGCCAGCCAGCAATGTAACCTAATTAATTTGTTTCTAATCATCATGCTAGTTATTAATAACCAAACATATAATAATATATTATATATAAATACACACACACATATGTGTTTGTTTGTGTGTCTGTATTACTTTTAATTATAAAGTGTAAAGTGTGTGTAAAGTGTAAAGTGTATGTGCGTGTGTGTGTGCGTGTGTGTGTGTGGTGTATATAACTACTAATTACAAGCATAATAATAATAATAATAATAATAATAATAATAATAATAATAATAATAATAAGCGAAATAGTATAATACATAATCATAATAATTATCATTAAGACTGAAGCCCAAATATCCATATTCTATCCATTCATCTAAGCATATTCTAATTATAGGTAATATGAAAATTCTACATCACATGAAATGTGAATTCACAAAGAGAAGAGAACATAGTTGGAAGGTTTTGATAATAAATAAATAAATAAAATAATAAAATAATAATAAATATAGATCTATGAACAAATTTATTTTCGAATTAATTTAACTGTGATATGATCTGTTTGTGAGCTAACTGGTTTCAAATGCTGATAAAATAAGAGCATTGTGTTGTTTTTGAATATATGTGTATATAAAAATAAAATATATATGCGAGGTTGCTCTTTTTTATAAAAATATAATATGAATTAGAGACTTAATCAAATTATGAGTATCTGAATTAAATTATTGCCTATTACAAACAATACTTTTCTATGCCTTCGGCTGCTTGCTATGTCCTGAAACTCTAAAACTAAACTAAGCCAAACTAAAAACATAATTAAACAAAAATATTTAATTAACATAAAGTATATATAAATTGATAAGAATAATTATAATTATGAAAATAAAAATTAACTCTAAAATAACTACTCTAAAAGTCTAACTAAAAAACCATAGCATTATAGCATTTTAGCATCGTATTTATTTAAAAATTAAAAATACTTCATTCAATTTTATTTTTTACATAAAATAAAATAATTATTATTATTTAAAAATTCAAAATAAAATTGTAAAATGAAGATAAATAATAAATAAATATTGAATTTAAAACGAAATAAAATGCATACCAGCTGATGATCATGTGATTGGCGATCGGGATTGCGATGAGTGCATCAACTGATCGATATCTCTTTGTCTTTTATGTTCATTCACCAGCTATCAAATAAATTCAAATGGGTCAGGTGATCCAGGAAAAAAATCAATTCCTTTTAATTGAAAATAATTTTTTAAAAAGTTAGAATAGTTTCAAAGTTAGCCCGGTCTTTATCATCTTAACAAAACCTTAATCGATATATTTTTCAAAATTAGGAAATAACTAAATTAAAGTCCAAACAAAAATAAAACTTAAAATTTACGAGAGAATATTTATTTTTTAAATGTAAACTTAATCAGCATAGATACAAAAGATTGATAGTGTAAAGCCAAATTATTTTCTATGTGATATATAACATATAATATATATATATATATATAATATATATTATTTATATAATGAAAGATATATATATATATTTATATATATACTCTATATATTTCTTCTAAGTATATGGCCAGAAATGTTTAACTACATGTTACAAAAATGTTTAACTATTTAATATATATATATAGATATGTATATATATATATATATATATATATATATATATATATATATATATATGTATGTGTATATATATGTGTGTGTGTGTGTGTGTGTGTGTGAGTGTGTGTCT